GGGAAAATTCCCCGATTGAGGCTCCCTCAACCCAAGTGTGTCAAGTTGACACTAAAGCTATCCAGCACAAGCAGTAAGCATTCCTAACCACTGAGCCATCTCTCCAGCCCCTCTCCTCTCCTAATTTCTGTCTCTCTCTAGTTCTGGTTGCCCCCCCCCCCGCCCCCAGGCAACTGTTCTATCACTGAGCTAAATCTCCAACCCTATCTTTCTTTTTCTGAATATTGAATCCAGGGCTTGGCACATGCTGGATAACAGCTCTGTGACTCATCTAAGCCCCAGCCTTGATCACACCTTTTTTTTCATTCTCAATTGCTATTTAGAAACGGGGTCTCCCTAAATTCTCCAGCCTGGGCCTAGCTCCCTTGGGTTCAGTTCTTCCCTTGAGGGTTTCAGCAGTAGACAGGCACACTCAAGGCCTTTGCTGGAAGAGAGCTCATAATAGAACTGTGCACAGAGGATTGTTCAGGAGAGAAAAGCACCTGGGTTCTGCAGCCCTGCAACAGTCATTGTCCTGGCCTGAGGGGTAAGGGGAAGGAGTCTTGTCATAAAACACATGGAGAGGGGCATTCTTGGGTGCAGCACACACAATTAGAGCTGTGGCCTTAGCTGGGTGTGGTAGCTTTAATCCCATCACTCAGGAGGCAGAGGCAGGCAGATCTCTGAGTTTGAGGCTAGCCTGGTCTATATAGGCCAACCACTGCTACAGAGTGATACCCTGTCTTAAAAAGAAAAAGCTGTGGCCTTAGGTAGAAGAGTATAGTGCCTGCTAAGATCACAGAGGGAGGGAATCATGATAAACACCCTGATCATGGGCTGAGGCCATAGTTCAATGGTATAGTGCCTGCCTAGCATGTGCCAGGCCCTGGGTTCAATCCCCAGAATGGGGGAGGGTTGGGTTTGGGGGGTATCCTAGTCACCCTGTCCCTCTTCCTATCTTGCCATGTCTCCAACTGGCAAATCTGAGGGCAGAAGGCCAGGGAGTCTTGAGACTGTGGCAGGAATCAGCCTCAGGACAAGCAGGGCAGCAGAGAAATGTGGAAAATGGAGATTTGAAGAGTAGCCAGCCCCTGGCTTCTCTCCTCTTCCTGGGTTTGGTTTGTGACTGCACTTTCTTTTATAGCACCATCTGTGCCTGGCTCTGAGACACCTTTTGTCTTCTGTCCAGGGCCAGGTTACTCTGTCCAGGCAGCAATTCCAAGGAGGGATCTCTCCCACCCCTGGACTCCCTGGGTCTCAATACCTATCATCACATCACTTAGCCCAGTGATCTGGCATACTCTTCTGTGCAGGCTTGCATACCCAGGAGATGGTTCTAGTATCTTCTACACAATGAGCTTCTTGCAGGTCAGGGCCAATAAAGCCATTTGCTCAGATATAGATTCAACAGACCAAGTACAGATATGTGCCAAGTGACTGGGTCCTGTGACAGTGCTCATCAAATGCTACCTGGCTGGGTACAATCAGGACATGTGCATGGCTGTCTTCCAGGATACACTGGAGCTCTTTGGTGGTGGGTAGCCTTAGCCTGGCTGTTCTAGTTTTCCTTCAATTGCTGTAACAAAACACTCTGACCAATACCAACTTGGGGAGGAAAGGGTTTATTTGGCTTCCATCTCCCAGGTTACAGTTCATCACTGAGGGAGCTCAAGGTAGGAACTCAGGGCAGGAACCTGGAGTCGGGAGCGGGAGCACAGGCCATGGAAGAATGCTGCTTACTGGCTTGCTCTCCTGGCCCCTGCTCAGCCTGCTTTCTTATGCAACACAGGCCCACCTGCTCAGGGGTGGAACCACCCACAGTGGGCTGGGCCCACCCACATCACTCAACAATCAAGAAGATGCCCCACAGACATGGCCACAGGTCAGTCCAATGAAGGCAGTTCCCCAATTGCAGCTCCCTCTGCCCAGCTGTGTCAAATTGACAACTAAAGCTGTCCAGCACACTGGCACACAGCAGGTATCAAATGTTGCCTACAATACTGGTCTAGATGGGATCATTTCCTTCATCCAACAAATGTTTTATTTATTTATTTATTTATTTATTTATTTATTTATTTATTTATTTATTTATATGTTTCACAGATAGTGCTGTGAAAGACAGTGCAGCTACAAAGCCAAACCCAGCCATGTGTGGTGGCACACACCTTTATTTCCAGCACTTGGGAGGCAGATGCAGGCGAATCTCTGTGAGTTCAAGGCCAGCCTGGTCTACATAGCGAGTGCAGGCCAGCTGGGGCTACAGGGAGACCCTGTCTCAAAAAGGCAAAAAAACAAAACAAAACAAAACAACCAAACCCCAACTCTACAAAGTTTTCCTCTGACCTCCATGCCCATATCACACACACATATGCACACAATAATAATTAATAATAAATTATTATTAATAACAACTCCACCTTTACATGGGTTCTGAGGATCAAACTCAGGTTGCCAGGCTTATGCAGCAAGTGCTTTTACCTCCTGAACCATCTGGCTGGACCATTCAACAAAATTTTCTACTATATGTCAGGCCCTGATCTAGTCTATGGGGACACAGCAGTGAATAAGTCATACAAAGTCCCTGCCCTCATGAGATTTTTATTTTAATAGAGGAATTGAAAATAAGCTCTATTTTAAATTTTTTATTTTATTTATTATTTTTATTTTATGTATATTCGTGTATTGTCTGCATGTATGTAAGTGCACCCGTGTCATGCAATGTCTGAGGAGGTCAGAAGAGGATATCAGATCCCCTGGAACTGGAGTTATGGACAGTTGTTAGCTGCCATGTGGGCGCTGGGATTTGATCCCGGGTCTTCTGCAAGTACAGCCAGTGTTCTTAATTGCTGAGCCATCTTTCCAATCCCATATGAAAATAAACTCTATTTTAAAATATTTCTTGCCAGGCGTGGTGGCCCATGCCTTTAATCCCAGCACTCGGGAGGCAGAGGCAGGTGGATCTCTGTGAGTTCAAGGCCAGCCTGGTCTCCATAGTGAATCCAGGCCAGCTGGGGCTACAGGGAGACCGTCTCAAAAAAAGAATATTTAATTGTGTGTATATCTTTGTGTCTGTGTGTGGATATATGTGGGTGTATGTGGGTGTAGATGCCTGAGGAGGCCAGAAAGGTCAGAGCTCCTTGGAGCTATAAGTGGGTGCTGAACTGAATTCCTGCAAGAGCAGGAAGCACTTTTAACCACTGGGCCAGCTCTCCAGTCCCAAGGAAACCCTATTGCTGAGTGGTACATAGAGAATAAGCAAGGTGATAAGGTAAAGTGGACATTCTGGGGGCTGACTCTCTGAGATGCTGTGAGCTGAGCTCTGAAGGAGAGCTGGGTTTAAAAAGCTGGAGAGGGTGTTTTAGGATTCAGTCTTGGGGGACTTCCAGGGCCAGCTCCTGGGCAGGGGGCTGGAGGGGAAGGGACCGCCCTTCTGACTGCTGCCCTTGCCTCCTGTTGCCTAGCACCTGCGGCAAACAGCCCCTGGCAGGCCTTGCCCTTGCTCCCTTCTGACTGGCAGCAGCTGTCCACAAGCAGCCCAGGAGGCTTTGCCAACCTCCTCCCCTGGAATATTTCAGGGGTAAGTCAGAAAATGACCAGCAGCCCTCAAAACCCCTTTTCTCCCACATACCTTACATGGGTATACTGTGCTGCTCTGGGTGTTAATCTTCCACCCTCTCCTACTAGACAAAAAGACATAAATACACAGTCACAGGCAGTACCCTCTGATAGTGAATCAAGCAATGTGCACAGCCTCAGTCAACACAGAGGACACCTCCACCCCTCATCCGCCATGAGGGCACGCATCAGCCCCCAGTCAGGCTCACAATCACACTCACACATAGTAACACATCTGCATAACAGACACAACCACACACATGGATCTGCTGTCATAAACCACCCTCCACATGCCCACCCAGAACACTACTGAGTCACACAGGGATACAACCCTGTGATGGACCTTCCAGTCGGCGCATAAAACCATCACCAGATGTTCCCAGCTGTGGGCACACGGATCAAAACACACCAGCCTACCCACAGCACAGCACACTCCCGACTCAAGGACTCCAATAAACCCTGGTCTGGCAGTCCGGCCTGGGCCCGCGCGGGGTGCACCGCATTCTTTGGCAATTGAATCAAAGCCCTCCTCTCTGACACAGGGGCTCAGTGGAAAAAAGAATCGGAGGAATGCTTGAGGCCCAGGTCTGGGACGAGGCCTAGCTGCTTCTTAACTTGGGGAGAAAGAGTTCAGTATGGAAGTTTGACACTGGCAGGCCAAGGACCTGGGGGAGGGGGCATGCCTTGAAGCCTGCTAAATAGGAGTGACAGGTGCTTCTCTCCGAAGACCCCAGAAAACCACCCAGGGTGGGGCAGGAAAGCTGAGTTAAACAGGGATTCAACCTCATAGTCGGCAGGCTTTCCTCGGCCCTTCTCTAACCCCAGCCACGCTCCCTGGCTGTCCTGACGCATCGGGTGTGGCTGGTAGCCCCCCTTCCCCAGCAGGCGCCCTGCCCCACCCCTTCACGACAGCTGCGGGGCACCAAGGGGGTGGCCGCACTCCAAGCCTTGCGCAGGGCTTGGATCGCAGGGCACTGATAAGTCCGGGACACGTGCCGGAGAGGGGCTCCGGGTCCCTCTGGGACCCCCCCCAACCTTACTCCCACCATGGCAGGCTGGGGAGATGTTCCCATGGGACTGCATAGCCCCCTGCTCTCCTCATGCAACCCGGACTCTGCAGAAGGGAAGGTGGATGGAGAGACAGAAGGTTCGAGAAGAGCTCGGGGCTGAGCTTGGGAAAGCTGCTAGGCCGCCCCCGACCCCCTGCTCCACTCTCCACCCCATCCTACCCCTCCCCACCTCTCCCCACTCCGCCCCACTCCGCCCCACCCCGCCCCCAG